ACCCCAATGCGATTCGATGTCGAACCAACCCGATTCGAAATTTCGAATTATTCGACATCGAATCAGGCAAATTCGTAATCGAACGAATTCGAATCAGGCCGATTCGATTCGATTCGATTCGATATCGAACAATTCGCACAGCTCTACTACAGTGCAACTTACGTCGCACAGCACAGCTACCTAGACACCTTGAGGTGAGGCCCTTGTACCGGGTGTTGCATAAAAGACACAGGTGCGGGGCGGGTTTGCCTACCAAGGGGCTATGGCGCCTTACGGGCAGAACGGGTAGGCAAACCCGCTCGCACCTGCGTCTTCTCTGAATCACCCGGTACAGCTTGGGTATTTCGGAGTAAAGTCCAAGCGCTTCTTGGTACGTCGCGTCGGTGAACAACCGGATTACAGCCGGAGTATAGCCGAATTATTTCACACGGAAAACACTCGGAGTACACGGAGTACACCCTGCTTGGACTTTTGCAAACAAATCCAAAATTTTACTATTCAAAACTGCGCAGAGGGGCGCCGCGCCGGTCGAACCAACGCATGCCAATGTTGGTTTATGAGGGATCGGGAGTTGACGATAGGCGAGAGGGGAAAGCAGTGGTGTGAGCGGGCGACCGAGGGCCGTCCACAATCAGCCAGGTTAGGAGAAGAGACAGACATACGGACTGGCAGAGGAGAGAGAGAGATAGATGAGATCAATACTCCCGTCTGGCTGTCCTCCGCCCGCCCCACCCCGCCCCCTCTCTCGCCCCGGAGAGAGCGAGGCGGAGGTGTCCATGCGGCCCCTGATTCGTGTCCACCCTATCGCTCGCGATGATTGCTTCCTTTTGAAAACACGACGATGTCTTTTCTGCCCCTCATCAGGGCCCGCAGGCGCAGGCGCTGCTGGCCCGAGTGGGACGCGCTGGCGTTCCCGGAGATCATGCACGGAGTGCCACAACCCGAAAAGGTAAGGCATTGTGTTCCGGGTCAAAGTCGTGCCATTTTTAAGTCAATCTTCCTCTACTTTTTTGCGTGTTTTACCTATACTTTAATACATTTTTGTTTTTGCCTCCACAAGTTCGAGGAGCCCGACGCGTCCGGGACGGGCGAGGTGGTCGCCCAGGGCACGCCCGTGTCCGAGAGCTCCGTGACGGCGCGCGCGTGCGTGGTCCTGGCGCTGGACGGCGACCAGGGCGTCAGCCAGCTCCGGGCCGGCGACGTGCTCATCACCCACTCCACGGACGTGGGCTGGAGCCCGTACTTCCCCATGCTGGGCGGCGTGGTCACCGAGCTGGGTGGCCTCATCTCCCACGGTAAGTGACGGGGGGTACTTGTGTTACGTGGTGCCAAACAGAAGGGTGAGGAGGTACAGGTACAGATAAATATTATGGTGTGCCAAAAGGATGAGGGTCATCATTGAAGCCCGTATCATATTTTTACCGTTTTGCGACCTCATAATACTTGCACCCTCACTCTAAAAACACGTAAAACACGTACCGGGTGTCTGGGAGAATACGCGGCAGCTCGATGGGTTGCCTACGCCACTGGTGTGCTGTGCAGGCGCGGAGGGCGAGGGGGGAGCGGTGGAGGTAACGGGGGGCAACCGGCTGCCTCCTACCACCTCTTCCGCTCCCCCCTCGCCCTCCGCGCCTGCACACCAGTGCGTAGGCAACCCATCGAGCTGCCACGTATTCCCCCGGACACCCGGTAGTATTTTGAACCAAACCCTGACAATGTACTGCAATATTTATATTTACTTTATTTTAATCTTTATTATTCATTTAGGGGCCGTTGTTGCGAGAGAGTATGGACTTCCCTGCCTCGTTGGAGTTTACGGAGCTACACGAATGTTCAAGACGGGTACGAAAAAGTTTGCTTTCGCCGTTTTACTCGTTGGGCATTCCTTTCAGAAGTAATTCAAAGAAACATTTTTATTTTCGCAGGTGATATTGTCAAAATCAGCGGGAAAACTGGAGCACTATCAAAAGTTAAATAAAAACAAACCAAAAGGTGTCACATTGGAGAAAATTCAGTCGCGACTCAGTCTACCTACTCCCTGGATTACCTCACATACCGGCACCATTCCAACAAACAGATAGGTCTGTAGGGTACGAAGAAACAGTGTATAAAAGGATCTCGAAATATCCCAGTCTCGAAAATAGAAGTTTGTCAAATTTTACTAAATTTGCGACCGCTGAAGTCGGCTGCAATTTTCTTAAAGGTCGTTTGAGATTTTCAAAATCTGTTTGGTACCTTGTTTTTTTGTACCATGTACAGCACCAATCGAAGTGTCGCCGTGAAGATCGCGACCCTCGAGTCCGATTGTTCGTTGGAGTTGTGCGTTTCAGACTTGATCACACAAAGAGAGTTGTTCTTCACGCGTTCATACCCGACGCACTACCGGAGTCGGAGCCACGCCGCGCGCGACAGACGCACTCCCCGCGCAGCACCCACCAGGACTACTTACTTTGTGAAGATCAAACACTTCGCAAACTGAATGAAACGCCCCATCTCTTTCTACCGCGGCATCTCGAGGACCCAGGACTCCGCAAAGAGATCAAACACTTTGCAGACTGAATGGAACGCCCCATCC